GTAAAGAGTCTTTAAATGTACATTTAAGAAATTCCATGAAGCGGCAATAAACACAAAAGTTTTGTAAATTGTACTGGCAAGTAGGAATATATGCATAGACTCTTGTTGGAAAAAGCCAGTGAAATCGCCTGATTTGATCACTAGATCTCAGGTCGTTCTATTCTGCGTTGTCGGAAGTTGCCAATATTTTTTACACGCTTCTTGCCATAGTAAAAAAGTATCACAAAATTGGATACTTTCGTAATACTTGACATTTTGCACTTGGCGACTATACTAAGTTCCGCATGCTCTTTTTAGCTGTGGTGATTTAATTCCTTCCTGGTACCTAGATAATAAGTTGGTCAATTATGCAAAAGGTCTAATTGAAAGTGCATGATCTACGCGTACCTGTTGTTGATAGAAATGACGTTCCTGGAGTAGTTACGATCTCGGAATATCGTCACAGAAGCTACGAGCAAACAGCATCGGAAGAAAAAGGCCACACCCAAGAATACGCTAGATCAAATGTCGAATTTTTGAAATTACGATGTGTATCATGTGTTTCCTGAATGTCTATGTAACACTATTTAGGTTCGCTACGGTTCTAAATGAATATGTGTGAATAATGTTTTAGTTAAACGGGACACACAAATTAATATTTTTATTTTTACCATTGTTATTATCGGTAGTTCTAAAATTCATTCTGCACCACATAGTAATTATCCTGCTTTTGACGCAGAGCCTAGCTAGTTTATCCTGATAATTCCTGATTATACTAGGGTTAAGCGTGGTTAATTAAAAAAATATTAAATTAAATTTTTCATACTTCTACATGCATGGCATGTATAGAGAATGCTGCTTGCACCAAAAAATAACGGTACAGAAAGGGAATATTCACAAGATGATCCGAAGACACAATCCATGCACTTACCCGCTGGTAGTAATAAAGGCATGGATAAGATGCCAAAAAATACCAAATTTTAACAGATACAGCAGAAAACAAAGAATAGATGTGAAAATCCAGTTAAATACGAAGCCTGTAATGAAAGATATGTGACTGATATGATACAATACGATATGGCCAGTAGAACAAAATGATTAGACACAAAACAGCCCAGCAACAGCTATCAATAGTTGCCTGATGATGGTTTGCGAGAAGACAAAGTGTATAATGGTTGAGCAAATTACTCAATTATGGAAACATAACTTTGGTATAAGGCATTTCGCCGTGGTCCATAATGAATCCAACAAAAATGGTCTAAATATAAATATGATCTAGTATGGTTTATGGTCCAAGCAAGAACTCACCCCACAGAAAGTATCCAATCTGAAAACTGTGGTAACGAAGTCCTATTGCCTGTAAAACGAGTGTATGTGCATGTGTGTTAGTTAGTAGTGAGACGGACTAGTCAATTCCCACTTCACATGATATCTTACAAACAAGCAATTTTATTTATACACAGGGAAGTTAGACAGAAATATGGTAAAATATATTGTTCAACTTACAATCATAAACTGTGACACGCTTATATTCCTAGGAATAAACGATTTATCCCCTTTAAACATCTTTACCATGTTATTCCTAAAATAAATTAACGGAAAACAAACTTTACAAAACAAACAGAAATCCAACATTAAAATACATAGTTCTACTAAAGTGTTGTTACTGATAGGTCTTAAACCTTGGGTACGCTGTAAAAATAGTAACAATTTAAAATGGTTTACCTCATTTATCAGACCAATTTTTTATTGGTTAGAAAACTATAAACTTGGTCAGGGACGCCGGAAGATCGATAATTGGATGGGCATATATTCATATATCCAAGTTCTGAAGTTCACAGACCGTAAAAGCAATCGATTTCAAAAGAAACTAATAATGCAGAACTCGTATATATGAAGATATGCCACACCCCCCCCCCCGATTTATTGATGTTCCGGCGTGCCTGAACTTGGTTAAAACTTTGAGTTATCAACTGCCCGTATATTCCCATACTCTATAGCTATACATACTTATGATTTTCCATGAAACGAACGAGGGAGAGCGCACAGACCGCAGTTGTCAGGATTACACCAGCTAAAAGTGATCCTAAATGGAAAAATAATTTAAATAAAACATAAATATAAGAAACCAACGGATTCAGAGGCAAAATCAAAATATTATAGAAAATCAGCCTTTAATTTCTTGCAACACATCAAATTTTCATATCGACAAATGCATTTCTTTTCCTCATCATTAAATATTAAATGACCGATTGCAGAAGTGACGCTAGACTTGGAAAAGTGGAGGTTATGATAATGACTTAAGATTTCGTAAAACGTAGATTCAGTGGCAAACATTTAGTTAATGGTAAATTTACAGTGGTAAATGATCGACTTTCTTACTTTCCGCATCATTAAGATCTAGAATATAATTATGACATGGAATGACGTTTGAAAAATAGGTGGATAGCACAAATCATGGCCTTAATATGTCTCAATATCACCTTATTCTTAAAACTTTGCATGGTGAATTTTTCACTCTTTAAATCATCAATTTGTAGTAACAGAACGTGTATTATTGTAATTATGCAGAGCGCTAATTTGGTCTAGTGACCTGGGCCATTAATTTTAATTAATTGACTGCATGGCTTTTTAACCGTTTTAACAAAACTAACCTAAATATCCACTGACCAACCAAGGAGGAAATATCGATTTTCCAGGATTATTCAGTTTTTCATATAACAAATATATCAAACCGATGGCGAGCTTGAAGAAAAATAACAACAAAATGATTATTACTTTAGATTTACGCTAGATAAATCGAATTTCCAGGAATCTCAGGAACTAATCTTTTGAATAGAATAAGTTTCAAATGCCAATCGCTTAACTGATTGAACTCCTAATATTAAACACGTTTATTAATAAACACTTGTCGCGGACCCTCTCATGGAAACAGAAAAACGCGACAAGCACTTATGCGCCAGCTCCGCGGTCAAACGTTGTTTACTCTCTGATACTTGGTCACTCATTTTTCATAGCTCGTTCTTGCCAGTCTCGTGATTTTCTCTGTCGTTGAAGCGAAAATGCGCGTTATACCATCATGGATGTATACCAAAAATGCATGCTATACACAAATAGACCTTTTGCATTATAGACTACTTCTTGATCTATGCAAGGAAATGCAATCAAATCACAGCTGAAAAGAGCGTACTGAAATTAGCAGAAATGCAAATTTGGTTGCGAAATGTTGTAAAATGCGGAAAATATAGCCTTGCAAAGTTTGCAAATTTGTATACTTTTTACCACAAACGGAAATTGTTACCACATTCAGGGCAATAAAATTTTTTAAGACCTTGGGCATCATAAATGGCTACTTTTTTCCATTAATCCAGTAATTTCCAAATAAACTCAGTAGTTAGTTCTAAATATATACTGTTCAATATTAGTTTATAGAAGAATTTATAAATGATCGAATTGTTAAATAAACAATGAAATTAGCGAAATGAAAACATTAATTGAAAAGTACATAAAAATTAATTGTAATATAAAAATAATAACAAAATTTATAGTGAATTTCTTGATGTTAATATTTCTTTCTAAATACTATTGTAGAAATTATTGTAAAAACTAGAGTCTAAGGATAGTGCAAAGTTTCCATTCTCTGTAAGCGTTTTGACTTCTGGGCCTTCCGCCAGTAAAAAATATAAAGCCAAAATAAAAATAAAGTTTCAAATAAACTTTGCACTAAAAATGTTATTTAAGATAATAAAGAACTCACGCTATAGAGACTTATGCCACAGATCATCATCACAGAAAGAGTTTCAGTTGAAAACTTAAAATCTAAAATTGTTGAACGAAAAATCGACAAAGTTAATGGACGACGCCAAAAGACTCAAGACTGGTATACGAATTTCAATACAGACGGCGAAAGATCGTTAAGTGGGGGCTAATGTTCATATATTAAAGCCTCTTCCGGACGAGCAAGTTTCATTTGTTCGTGTGCACGTGCCAACTATTTTACTTTGACAGTTTCGTTTGCAGCCAGCGATGTAATCGTACAGCGGACAACGTGAGCGCACCATTGCAAAATTCTATAGTCCGCTGGCGAACCTGCTGTCGAAGTTTGCTGGCGAAGTTTTCTTTGTTGTCTCATACAGACGAGCAAAATTTGTACTTGATTTTGAACAAGGGTACTTGTCATAGAAAAAATTGTGAAAGTTAGGCGTACAGACGAACAATTAAAACTTGTTACATGAAAGCTTGTCATAGAAAACTTGCTCGTCTCTTAAAGGCTAGTTTCCCCAGGAAAAATCTCCTTTGGATCGGAACGGACAAGAAAATTTCCTTTGTCGACGAGTTCTCAAGGCGGCGTTTATACAAAGGAAACCGATCCAAAGGAGAATTTTCCTGACAGGAAACTAGCCTTAAGAGGATTAACGTTCAGCATCATTAGTTCAGTTTGAAATTGATTGTTTTTGATCTGACAAGAATATATGAATATTGACCTTCCTGCATGCCCTCCCACTTAACGGCCGCCTGTATTCTCGTGCCCCAGGTGATCTGAAATGGCGGGAAAGGACTGATGTCGGTTGAAGCAGCCTAATATGTCTTAAAATATACTTTATTTTATTTTCAGATTAATTTTAGAACTATAGTTCTTATAACTGAACACAATCACAAAATTTCAACGAGATTCATAGAATAAAAAAGATATAATCCATTAAATACTACAGAATGGATCTCTACTTTGTCAACCCTTCTGAGCACTGATTGTCCGTAAAATACGAGCGCGAAAGGATATGCTACACATTCACCAAATGTTCCTAAACCAATGCCTCAACCAAATATATATTCATCAAACTCACCTTTTTGGGGATTGTAAAATTTTCTCAGGTAAAACTCAACTCTTCCATATTCCCGAGGTCTACAAAACGAGGCACAGTACTTACTTCGATTACAATTGCAATACACCTTTTCGATAATTACGTTTATGGGCCTGGAAACCTCGCCCGCCCACATGTACAACGCTTTCAATTTCGAACACCAAAATGCATTTTCTACGATAGCATGCAGCAAAAGGGGTGATACAAATGCAGTTTTAAGTCGTATGAAAATATACCCTGTCAATATACCAGCACAAAATAAATATAATCAGAATTATAACCATAGACAGCGCAATAGCGAATGGTTTCTTTGAAAGAAAATCGACTAAAAATATTAAAAATTAAAACAAATCCATCATTATTTTGATGATATTGACACAGTTTTTTGATGAAATTGACACAGTAATCTATTTACTTGCCAATATACAAAACTGAGTATTGCTGCCTAAAACGGGCGATGTGCGTCTCTTACAATGTGCAGGCAAAGTCGGTATAACATATTGTATTATACTGCACACTCGATTTTCTAACGTTTTTTTAAGCACACGATCATACTTTGGTTTAAAAATGTTCTTCACGTGTTCCATCAACCAGGGTCTGACCAACTTCACCTGAGGGGAAGTTCTTTTATTCTAAATGAACATGAATTCAAAGTATTTTTTGAGTGAAATTCGTTCCGTATTCGTAGTTTACTATAATAAGCTTCATTTAATAAAACGTTAAAGTTAAATAAAGATCGCGTGGCAACGTCCAGTGCAAATCATGCGAAAAACAATTACAAAAAATGTTCTACAATTCATTTTAAAAACGAACATTACGTCATGACGTTTATTATTTATCATGCTATGACGTCACTCGAGGAACATAAAAATTTCATCGCTGGGTGCTAATCATAGACATTGCATGGATATTTGAAATAAGTAATAAGTACTGTTCTATTTACAACAAATTTCATGCTTCAACAATTGAAGGAAATCTCCTTATAAAATAACATGCATATAACGCGTGTTCTGATTGGTTGAAGCCCGTGTTTGGATCAGGCCATCCAAACACGGAATCCATTAAGTAATTGTTAATTCCAAATGAAAACCACAAGGAAGGGAGGGACCTGTGTTAATAGGATATATCATGCATTCTTTTCAAAAGTTTTTTGTGTCTCTCTTTTGTCATAGCTATCCTCCTATGAGGACAGACATATGCAAATAAGTTGTGGATCCCCTAGGCGTCGCCAGTATCGATAAGTGTGGTGGAAATAAAAGCCATCAATTTGAAAATAAATTAAAAATGTGGAACAAAAAGGTATGAGTTTGTCCCCCCTCACATATCAAGCTGACGGCGCCACTGTGTCAAGCGGCAATACTTACGTCGCCAGGAAAAAACTGCTCTCCTCTGATTCCATAGTTTTTGATTTCCCAATAAAGTACGAATATGAACTTGGCCATAATAAACACATAACATATTATTATAGGCATCTCGGTCAACACGAGAGCTTTAGTTAGGAACGAAGAATTGTTCTAAAAATTGGTACACGAAAACACTCTTAATCGGTAGAATAATTGCTAGACTTATAGATTAGCTTGTAATTTCCCAGGCGAGGAAACGAATAGAAAATTGGGCACATTTATGTATGGATTTTGCGATAGAAGAAATTCGAAAAGATTGTGATGCAGGCTCCACCAAGATTAAAAATAACTTTGTTGTAAGCGCAGCCTGCTACTGAGATATTGGTAATAAATATAAATGGATCGAGCAGTGGCACTAGAATCATTTGTTGTAAACCCCTCCCCCCCCCAAGAAATCCTTAGGTTCGTATCAGGAGTTGGAATATAATGAGACAATCGAGCATCAAATGAACTTACTTTACATTTCTGGAAAGTGCTTGTCAAATATAGGCAGAAACTGTAAAATGAAATGCAAACCATTTTAATAAAGTGCAACATGCTGACAACCACGTTTTGAAGCAAAAATATTAACATTTTTCATCCATGCAGTCCCGTAATCAACAACTATATTAATCCGTCGAGCGTTTTTACCATGCAGTAAGATATTTGTCAAATAATCCTGGGCCGGTCCACCGGATTGTGGTTTTCTCGATCGCTCCAAAAATCGTACGGTATAACCTGTCTTAGACTCAATATTCCTAAACTTGAGGAATCTCTCTCACAATTGTAAGCTCAAAATGTCTAGTTTTATCACTTTTGGGGCATTTTTACAACGTTAATAAAATCACTATTCGATGGATAGAGCTATCCAACTTTCGTACAACCGGCCCCTGACGTGTTAGCGATGAAAACAATAGGCGGACGATAAGAATCGTGTACGTAAGAATGGAGAGAGGTGGGAGAACATCGCCACCATGAATCATTAAGTTTACTTACAATATCGCACAATAAGGAAGGCCCATCATTGCTCCAATAATTTTGTGATACGTCGTCAGGCAAGCAAAAAACGGGTAATAAAGGAAAGCACATTCAATTGCAATGCCGACGACGAAAAACACTATAAAGAAAATCAGTTTCACAAAGGCATAGTATGATATTTACTACACAAAATGTTTTGCACGTTTTTGTATTTTTATTACCTCTTTCCCAAGCGTTTTTGCCTTGGAGCCCTAGTGATGCAACTAGAACGATGATTGATCCAGTAGCAGCTCCAAACACAAACATGCTGGCAAGACGATGATGATCAATACCGAGGAAATCTATAGGGCTAAATACGGTGGAATATATTACACAGCTATTAAACTCCGTCTATACCCAGTAAAAGAGCAATAAAGCACTCAATAGGAAGGCTTTTTAAATAAGAGAGGATTTCACTTCATTATTTTAAACCTAGTTTCCATTTATGATTTTTGGCACTTCCGTTGAGGCAGGTAAATTCTAGGGGTTTAAAGGGTCTTATTAAAGCAAGTCATTCTCGCCCATTAGAAATATTCTATGAGTAAATTTGTTCTTATTTCTGCATACTAATCGGTCATTGTTGACTAGACACACAAAAGAATATTCCATCATATCAGCCACCTTGACATGTTAACTAAAAGGACACCAGGGGCCGGTTGTATAAAAAGGTAGTTAACTTTTAACGATAGTTAGTGGCAAAATTGGTCAATCAGAATAATGTATTTTCTAGTTAACTACGATTTAACTACTTAAAATGTTGTTAAAGAGTTTTATACAACCGGCCCCTGGGCTACACTCAACGTGCAAGTCTTTCTTGGTCTATTCGACCAAACGTAGTTGCACAAAAAAACCCAGATTAATTCACAAAACTCACACAACAAGCCCAGGTCGACCTCCCCAAACGTGTTTCTTAAAACTCTTTCTTCGTCGCAGAGATGCCAAAATCGTCAGAATAATTGCCAGGAAGAGATTGTAGTTTTCTCATTATCGGTTTTAGACCAAGGGACAACATACCCTTCGTCTCTTGTAACAGCGCTAGCTTGTACTCACTGTGCTCAGACGGGCTTATTTGCCATCTAACGCTCAGCGGGGATTCAAACAAAAAAATTCATGAGTTTCACAATTACTTGCTCCAGGGCCGCCGAAAGGTTGCTTTCTTCTTGACAAAATATTGGTAGGCTGGATTTCCACTTTCAGAGAAATAGTAAATCGTTCGCTAGCAAAATATTTGCATATTTTCTTTGAATTGAGAACAGTCAAGTTGAACTAACTTATTTCAGGTGTTAAAATCTAATTAAAATATGCAAGAATTTCGCTGCTAACAAGTGGAAATCCAACCGTACTGTCGTCATGCTACGTGCACGAAATATTTTCTCTTTAAATCCAGTCCCTATTAACCGTTTAGTTTCCTAATTGCAAATCACGAAATCCGTAACGTAACGATTATTACCAAAATTTGCCTCCATGTCGTCACGTCGAGAGGAAATTCGCCTTAAAATTCTCCAACTAAAATAAGGTACTAATACTTTAAACTTACTGCAGGAAGCAAAAGCAGATGAGGATAATATCTGGTATCAACATTACACGCAACACTGGAAAAAGATGAAAAACGTATCAGCACGTACTTTCCCTAATAAACCTTTCCCCTAATAAATCTTTCCTCTTAAGGCTAGTTTCCACTCAGGAAGAATCTCCCTTGGATCGGAACGGACAGGAAAATTTCCTTTGTCGGTGAGTTCTCGGGTGGCGTTTATAAAAAGGAAACTTTCCTGTCCTATCTGATCCAAAGGAGAATTTTCCTGAGTGGAAACTATCCTTAATAGACCTTTCCCCAAATAGACCTTTTCCCATTTAGCTTTCAAGCGCGCAATGCGTGACGGTAGCTGATTACCAAGCAACTTTCAATTGCGATATCGCTCTGTTTTGAAGCGATTTTGTTTGTAAGAAAACCTTGCCGATTCTTTAAATCGCTCCGGAACATTGCGAAATCACAACTCAAATTGACTTGGATAATTAACTACCGTCACGCGTTGCGCGCTTGAAAGATAAAAGAGGAAAGGTCTATTGCCTTAAAAAAGTTGATCAATTTTGTGAAACCATACCCAGCCAGTTACATTTACAGGTAGTTTAGACAAGTATAACATGAGAAATGCGTTTTTGGTTTTAAAAATTCCCACTTTATTCAGAAGAGAAACAATAAACCTAATCTCAATGACGCGTCATTCAAACTTTTTCTATACAATTAATGGCAAATCAATGCAGTTTGAAAAAATAGCGAACAATGTTGGTACAAAAACTGTTGGTAACAATTCTGGTAAACGCCAGGTTCAGAGATTTTAGCGGTGTATAAATTAAATATGGCTCACCTGGTTGACGTTTCCTGGGATGATGTTCTTGTATAGTTAGCCATTGCTTGTTAGGTAATGAAAACTTTGAAAGAGATATTGAAATTATCACTTGATGGAAATCGTGCAATTTACCCCAAGCTTGTGGACTGTAGTGAGTTAGAAATTCATCATTTTGATGTTTATTTTATTGTAAATATTGTGTTGTACACAAAAAACACGCCAACAAAGCTATGATCTATGGAACAGTCAGCGAGTATTAAAGATGCAAATAAGCAAAAAAATTTAAATGCATAACTAGTAAAACGGCAGAACTTAGTTAAAAAATCTTGTAGAAAGCGTACAGTATAACCAGGGCGATAATCTTCGAGGAGGAGTGCATATATTTATCTATTCGTTCTGCAAGGGGGATTTCTGGTACAGGGCTAAAGCTGAGCTGTTGCAACGTTTCCTGCATGTTTGGTCCTAAAATAATCGTACGTTTCTATCCTGATTGAATGCATTAAGAGTTGCCAACTTAATAATTATGGAACCAAGTGAAAGGACAATAGATCGCACCCAAAACACGACAGAGATCAATTTTAGACAGGTAAAGTTTGGTCGCTAAGTGTTTTAGGATGTGGAAAATGTGACTGATGAAATTCACTATCTTTTTCTATTATTTTTGTATTTGTATTCCGTACGGGGCCTGTCTGATCAGAGTCTGATTGGTCAAATTCTTATAGCATTACATTATGGATGAATAAGAACAATCAATAAGAATTAAGACAGAATACTGGAGTGGCGATTCAGAACGGTCAAGAATTAAATTCATGTATTCAGAATTTACTGAACATGCATCCTCGTTCCGAGGTTTTTCCTGTCTGATAATCAGACAGCTTCGGACTGCGTGGCACACGCAGTACGCAAAAAACCTGGGTACGAGGATGCATGTTCTTTAGATTAAGTCAGGATTAGGGTTAAATTTAGGATTAGGATTAACCCTTATGAGTCATAAATCTTGTATCCAATCTTAACCGTAATCCAATCTTAATCACCTAGACCAATTTAAACCAGGAATGACAAAATCTTCTTAATCCACCACTGTGTTTACATCTGTATTATTAATGCGTGTGAATGCGCAATTCAACCACAATACAACAGCGTTATACCATTATCTCTCAAGTATTCTAATAATTTTCACCTGAATAACCAAATAAGTGTTTCATTCGTTGAAGTAAACACTTGAAAATTCGACACATGCAATTTTTCGAACTGCTTAGCGGAAATACACACTTCACAATTCACATGCAATCGAAAAAATTGTTTTGAATACTTCGCACGTCATTCGAGCCGAGGGTTCATTTCAATAAAATTTCACGGGTGAAACGTTCTGAATAATATTATTTTGGGTCTTTGTTCAAAAAGTCGCGCAATGTTTGTTGCGGTAATGCCAGTTACTACGCGTTTCCCTAAAACATATTGGTCGGAACTCGGAACTCGAAATGCCCCCCCTCCCCACTGTGGGCCTACTTCGCCAGTTCAAAAAGGTGGCCACTGGACGTCAATTAAGCCCGCCAGACACGAGAGCTATCACCTGAGCTAACGACCTCGCTAGGCAGTTTATAGTTCAGCCCGAAACTCATCCGCACACGAGAGAAACTTGCCTTTCGAGTGAATTCCTCATAAAAACTATCCACACACGAGAGAAACTTCTTGATAAGTCAGATAATAGTCCCGCGGGGTCTTTTCTTCGGCTAATAGCTCTCGTGTTGGGGGGTTTTAAAAAAACGCCGTACATCTAAAGGTAAGGCCATGTTACACGCTGCAATTTTTCTTGCAACTTGCAATGCTATTCTACTTTTAAGATATGTAAATTAGTGAAGAGGCTTCAAAATGTAAGTGCAAGAAACGTACATTGAGTGTAATAAACGTAAAAGTTTCGTAGTTGCCAAATTTATATCTCTCAAAAGTAGAATTGCATTGCAAGTCGCCAGAAAAATTGCACTGTGTAACAGGGCCTTATTTACTAGACTTACTGACTACATTATTATACCAATTAGTTCAGCCTCTTACATGACCAAGTGGCCTAGCCAGCCTGACGATATTGCGCCAAGGTTGAATATAAAAGATTTTTCTAGAAAAAAAACTTTTTTCTTTTTTAATAAAAGAAGATTTTTGCTAATAAAAGAAGATTTTTGCTAAAAAAAAGATTTTGCTAATAAAAAGAAGATTTTGCTAGTAAAAGATTTTTGCTAAGAAAAGAAGACTTTTGCTAATAAAAGAAGATTTTTGCTAATAAAGGAAGATTTGCTAAAATAGAAGATTTTGCTAATAAAGGAAGATTTTGCAAAATAAAAGAAGATTTCCTGCCAATAAAGAAGATTTTTGCTAATAAAGAAGATTTTTGCTAATAAAAGAAGATTTTTGCTAATAAAGGAAGATTTTGCTAATAAAAGAAGATTTTTGCTAATAAAGGAAGATTTTGCAAATAAAAGAAGATTTCGCCAATAAAAGAAGATTTTTGCTAATAAAGAAGATTTTTGCTAATAAGAAGATTTTACTAAATAAAAGAAGATTTTAGATTGTTTCAAAAGTCAAAAATTCGAAATGGCAAATACAATGTGATCATTGTGATGTCATATATTTAAAATAAACATTGATCAGTTTTAGCACTTTTATGCTTTTATGTAATCATTTATCAATCCTTCTCTTGAATCTTGAGCCGACTGGCCTTGATGACTGTGATGGTATAATTAATGTTATCACTTTATTTTAATCATTTTTAAAATATTAATATTTTGTTTAACTTCTTGATTTTCAAAGTAATAATGTAAATATCAAAAATAAATAAAGAAAATCAAAGGCAAAAACAAAATCTTCTAAAATAAAAGAAGAAATAATAAAAGAACGATTTTGCCAACCCTGTTTATTGTCCTGCTATGTTAAATTTCGAGTTATTAAATAATTCATTTCTTTAGAAATTTATCGTTTTCAAAGTTAATGAACACCAAAATATTAGCATAGCGGGACAAATCGGCAGGCTGGCTACGCTAGTGCATGACTAGATTTATGCCTTATGCATGTAAACTAACCCAGCAAGATTGATTTAATGTTGTTATTAACAGAGATTATGCATGAATGACTTTACTAACGGTTCAATGGGTTTACAAACGATTCAATGCGTTTGGGACAGGAAATTAATCTCATTATTATAATCTTACAGATATTGCTCGACAGTCGCTAAATATAGACGCCTAATTAAAGCGGGCATATTCACATTATACATGTTTATACAAAACATCGCTTTCAAAAAACGTTCAAGGGCAAGGCGAATATATATAAACAGTAATGGACTACGTGTCTAGCGACGGCTTTTATTGCATGTGATTCGTTTTACTGCATGAAACGACCAATGAGTAATAAATAAGATCGTCAGATAAGTTATATTTGATTACTTGATTGCAAGAACAACAGGTATAATGCTAATACTTGTAGTCATAATACGGGTGGGATCTAAACATGTTTATGATATATCAAGTGCGACCAACAGCTAAATGCACATGTTAACTTAATTACTTATAGACTTGCTCTAATGACTAAACTTTCTTTTATTTCCAAACACATGTAAACAGCAGAGTAATAAAAGAATGCCAACCTGCATTTGTGAGATACTTATATTTCTAGAAAATGGAACAAATCTTCTATATACTTACCGATAGCCACAATATCATGGAAAAGTGGTGAAATTCGTAATACACAAAGTGTCAAAGTTCTTCTTCTGGAATAACGTTTCCCGCCAGATAATGGGTATCGGATTCAAATGATCAGATCGATGACACAATTCTACCCTGTCTTGTCTTGCCTAATTCCTGCCCCGCGCGTGTGCATGCGTTCGTCGTGGTTTGTATAATAAAATGTAAATAAATTATAAATAAATAGGTAATATAATTAATGTCACCCCAGTGTGTCGCGGTCGGCGTTAAGGCTGTTTTCCACTAGGCGGAATTTTCCGCGCGGAGCGGAAAATTACGCTCGAAAAGTTTCGAGAGGAAAGGCTTTTCAATTTCCACAAGTATCCGCTGCGAGCGAAAAAGTTGGAAAATTAATAAAACGCGCGAAAATCAAATCTCAAATTCAACATGTCGAGTGTAAAACAAAAACAACTGCAAAGATTAATAATTTTAGTTGTGCTTCGTAGGCGACTAGAAAGACAAAATGAAAAATACAAGAAGCGGTTTTGGGTGCGGAAGATTTATCAAGAACGCATTTTAAAAGGAGAATTCCACCTGTTAATCAAAGAAATGGTCCTTTTTGACCACGAGTACTTTTTTCGTTGTTTCAGAATGGTACCAGAAACTTTTGAAAAACTTCTTTCTTGGGTTTCTCCTTACATACAGAAAAAAGCAACAAAAATGCGTGAGCCCATTTCACCCAGTGAAAGATTAGCAGTTACTTTGAGGTACCTAGTCACGGGAGATGAACAAACCAGTATAGCAGCTAGTTATCGCATAAGCCCTTCGACCGTAGGAAGGATTATTGGTGAAACGTGTCAAGTTCTTTGGCATGTTTTGATCGAAAACGGCTACTTAAGTGCACCAAAAACTAAAGAACAATGGAAGAAAATTGCTAGAGAATTTGAGAGTAAATGGAACTTTCCACATGCACTTGGTGCCATCGATGGGAAACACGTAGTAATGCAGGCACCTGCTCGTTCTGGATCTGATTATTTTAATTATAAGAAGACACATAGTATTGTGCTTTTAGCAGTCTGTAATGCAGACTACGAATTTACTCTCGTGGACATTGGTGATGCAGGTAGACAGAGTGACGGTAGTGTGTACGCTAATAGCTATCTTGGCATGCCATAGATAATAATCTATTGAATCTCCCTGGGTCTGAAAAGCTATTCCAACCTGACTCATCAAACAAAACCTACCCTTATGTATTTGTCGCGGACGATGCTTTTGGACTCAAGACTTTCATGATGAAACCTTACCCAGGACAGAACTTAACCCTTGCAGAAAGGGTGTTCAATTATAGACTATCAAGGGCACGGCGAATTATTGAGAATTGTTTTGGGGTTGCAACATCACGTTTCCGAGTGTTTCGAAAACCAATCATTGCAAACGTGGAGAAGGTGATAAATATTACCAAAGCAGTTGTTGTTTTGCACAACTTTTTAATGGCAACAAGATCTCCAGAGGATACCCACAGTTACTGCCCACTTAGCTACACAGATCATGAATCAGCAGCTGGTCAGCAAACTGGGGAATGGAGAAGGGAAGGAAACATTGAAGGAATGGTCCCTATTCCGCAAATTGGTTCAAACAACTATTCTAAATCAGCCAAAAGTACTCGTGATGACTTCAAGGAATATTTCAATTCACAACAGGGTGCTGTCAGCTGGCAAATGGAAATGGTTACGCGAACCTTACATTCACTTGACAATTAAAATACTGTTTAATTCACATCTTATAAAAGAAACTCTCAGTAAATGAATCATACTGTACAACTTTAACTTTAAAATTTTGAGTGTCTATTGTTTTTAGAGAAAGTCACTCTATTTTGATGAAATTAGTCACAGTTCATCATTAAACTCTATATCAAACAAAAGTTGATTTATTTTTATTTTGGCAAGCCTATTTTGTCTTGCAGGCATCTTTTTAAGTATTGGTACAAGGCTTTTGCAAAATAATAAATCTTCATCTTGATCAGTAACAGTGGGTTCTTGCATATCCTTCAATGTCTTCACCAACATTGTATCTACTGCAAATGCCATTTCTGCTCTTGACTTACTTCGCTTTGCAGGTGTATTTGCAATAATTTCAGTCTCTGCTTTACTTTTTCCTGGAGCAGAGGCTGGAATACTCTTTGATGATGTTGGAGTTGAGGTCTCGGGGCAGAGCACTGACTGGGTTACAAAACTAGTAAGTGCAGAAGAATTATTGACTGCTAAAGATGAATCTTCAACATCAATCACTGGTGTCAAATTGCTTTCTGTAGGTTTGTTACAGACTTTGCCATGCAGAAATCTCAACTGATCAAAACTTGCATGTGGGCAACTTTGATGCAGCTGCCCCTGATTTTGTAGCCTTGGATCTCCTATCAAGGCATTTCTTCAAGTTATCTTTCAAATATTTCAACTGTGTCTTTAAAAATTCCACTGTAAATACAATGAAATACTTTTAAAGTGCATGCAAATCATATTAACAAATGAAAATAAAGAGATAACATGGCAGCATGTAGACTTTACAATAATTTTTCTTAAGAAAATATATTCTAGCAGCATTATTATAAATCTATATTCACTATCTTGCATGCTTATTATGGTAAATTCTTCACCTTTAAATCCTACACTATTAAATTAATGAATGTGGGAAATGGGTGGGATTTGATGTAGACTAGCATTTCTACTTTAAGGCCATGTAAATCTTTCTCTAAAAGCTCCTTATCATCATTTTTTGACAAACTATTGCACTGCATATCACATAATATAACAGGTTAATTTGAAAAATCATAACTGTGAATAGTTATATTATTAAAACTGTTCATTAAAGAATTCCTACCATCTTTGTTAAATATGTTGGAGAGAATTTTCCATGCATTTTGTTTTGCATTTCTGTCTTTGTAAGAAGATAAAGATGTATTCCACAAACATCCAAGTTTCCGAATTTCTTCAATAAATAACTCAACCTCAAAATCTATTGACATTCCCCTCTCCTCTTCTCCTGCCTCTATGTTGGTTAAAGGAGCTTCACTTGAGTCTATTGCTGGATTAGCTATGAGTTTTTTTCAAAAAATGAAATATTAATATTTATAAAAATAAAAATGTTTTTTACAATAAAGAAATTTGAACTAGGATAATTTATGATGTATGATCTATGAATGACGAAACTTTGTGTAATCTAAGTTTACTTGGCTGTATAAAATTTTGAAAAAAAATAAAAAATATATAAATGTGTTCATTTGATTTGCTATAAAAAATTTCAGTTAAAATACTACTATACATTGAAGAATTTTATAGTACTTCAAATCGAAATCAATTGAAATCAGTGGTATTATAATGGGAAAATTACCGCAAAAAACACCCTTGAAAAATATCAAGGGATATATGATAATATTAAATAAAAAAAGTTGGTGTAAATTGTATAATTATTATTCACCTTGCTCTGTTGCACTATTTGAAATATTTTGAGAAATGTTTCCCACTTGCTTTTCCTGTCGTTGCTGTTGTATGTGACCAAACAGTTCAGTAACTGACCCTTCATCCATTGCAATAAGTTGCTGTTGTTCCTCGGACCTTGCAAGAAGCTCTTTTAAGGAATTTATGCTAGAAATATATCTTTCACGGCTTTCTTCACTCATATTCCTGTCGGCCATGTTGCTCATTGGACGGGCGGAAAGCGGAAAAAGTCGTATTGGATTGAACTTCCAAGCGAAAACGCCATTGCGCCAAACGCAAATATTAAATAGATATTGCGCATGCTCAAAATAGTTTTTGAGCGTAATTTTCCGCTCCGCGCGGAAAATTCCGCCTAGTGGAAAACAGCCTCAATACGACTTTTTCCGCTTTCCGCCCGTCCAATGAGCAACATGGCCGACAGGAATATGAGTGAAGAAAGCCGTGAAAGATATATTTCTAGCATAAATTCCTTAAAAGAGCTTCTTGCAAGGTCCGAGGAACAACAGCAACTTATTGCAATGGATGAAGGGTCAGTTACTGAACTGTTTGGTCACATACAACAGCAACGACAGGAAAAGCAAGTGGGAAACATTTCTCAAAATATTTCAAATAGTGCAACAGAGCAAGGTGAATAATAATTATACAATTTACACCAACTTTTTTTATTTAATATTATCATATATCCCTTGATATTTTTCAAGGGTGTTTTTTGCGGTAATTTTCCCATTATAATACCACTGATTTCAATTGATTTCGATTTGAAGTACTATAAAATTCTTCAATGTATAGTAGTATTTTAACTGAAATTTTTATAGCAAATCAAATGAACACATTTATATATTTTTTATATTTTTTTCAAAATTTATACAGCCAAGTAAACTTAGATTACACAAAGTTTCGTCATTCATAGATCATACATCATAAATTATCCTAGTTCAAATTTCTTTATTGTAAAAAACATTTTTATTTTTATAAATATTAATATTTCATTTTTTGAAAAAAACTCATAGCTAATCCAGCAATAGACTCAAGTGAAGCTCCTTTAACCAACATAGAGGCAGGAGAAGAGGAGAGGGGAATGTCAATAGATTTTGAGGTTGAGTTATTTATTGAAGAAATTCGGAAACTTGGATGTTTGTGGAATACATCTTTATCTTCTTACAAAGACAGAAATGCAAAACAAAATGCATGGAAAATTCTCTCCAACATATTTAACAAAGATGGTAGGAATTCTTTAATGAACAGTTTTAATAATATAACTATTCACAGTTATGATTTTTCAAATTAACCTGTTATATTATGTGATATGCAGTGCAATAGTTTGTCAAAAAATGATGATAAGGAGCTTTTAGAGAAAGATTTACATGGCCTTAAAGTAGAAATGCTAGTCTACATCAAATCCCACCCATTTCCCACATTCATTAATTTAATAGTGTAGGATTTAAAGGTGAAGAATTTACCATAATAAGCATGCAAGATAGTGAATATAGATTTATAATAATGCTGCTAGAATATATTTTCTTAAGAAAAATTATTGTAAAGTCTACATGCTGCCATGTTATCTCTTTATTTTCATTTGTTAATATGATTTGCATGCACTTTAAAAGTATTTCATTGTATTTACAGTGGAATTTTTAAAGACACAGTTGAAATATTTGAAAGATAACTTGAAGAAATGCCTTGATAGGAGATCCAAGGCTACAAAATCAGGGGCAGCTGCATCAAAGTTGCCCACATGCAAGTATTTTGATCAGTTGAGATTTCTGCATGGCAAAGTCTGTAACAAACCTACAGAAAGCAATTTGACACCAGTGATTGATGTTGAAGATTCATCTTTAGCAGTCAATAATTCTTCTGCACTTACTAGTTTTGTAACCCAGTCAGTGCTCTGCCCCGAGACCTCAACTCCAACATCATCAAAGAGTATTCCAGCCTCTGCTCCAGGAAAAAGTAAAGCAGAGACTGAAATTATTGCAAATACACCTGCAAAGCGAAGTAAGTCAAGAGCAGAAATGGCATTTGCAGTAGATACAATGTTGGTGAAGACATTGAAGGATATGCAAGAACCCACTGTTACTGATCAAGATGAAGATTTATTATTTTGCAAAAGCCTTGTACCAATACTTAAAAAGATGCCTGCAAGACAAAATAGGCTTGCCAAAATAAAAATAAATCAACTTTTGTTTGATATAGAGTTTAATGATGAACTGTGACTAATTTCATCAAAATAGAGTGACTTTCTCTAAAAACAGACACTCAAAATTTTAAAGTTAAAGTTGTACAGTATGATTCATTTACTGAGAGTTTCTTTTATAAGATGTGAATTAAACAGTATTTTAATTGTCAAGTGAATGTAAGGTTCGCGTAACCATTTCCATTTGCCAGCTGACAGCACCCTGTTGTGAATTGAAATATTCCTTGAAGTCATCACGAGTACTTTTGGCTGATTTAGAATAGTTGTTTGAACCAATTTGCGGAATAGGGACCATTCCTTCAATGTTTCCTTCCCTTCTCCATTCCCCAGTTTGCTGACCAGCTGCTGATTCATGATCTGTGTAGCTAAGTGGGCAGTAACTGTGGGTATCCTCTGGAGATCTTGTTGCCATTAAAAAGTTGTGCAAAACAACAACTGCTTTGGTAATATTTATCACCTTCTCCACGTTTGCAATGATTGGTTTTCGAAACACTCGGAAACGTGATGTTGCAACCCCAAAACAATTCTCAATAATTCGCCGTGCCCTTGATAGTCTATAATTGAACACCCTTTCTGCAAGGGTTAAGTTCTGTCCTGGGTAAGGTTTCATCATGAAAGTCTTGAGTCCAAAAGCATCGTCCGCGACAAATACATAAGGGTAGGTTTTGTTTGATGAGTCAGGTTGGAATAGCTTTTCAGACCCAGGGAGATTCAATAGATTATTATCTATGGCATGGCCAAGATAGCTATTAGCGTACACACTACCGTCACTCTGTCTACCTGCATCACCAATGTCCACGAGAGTAAATTCGTAGTCTGCATTACAGACTGCTAAAAGCACAATACTATGTGTCTTCTTATAATTAAAATAATCAGATCCAGAACGAGCAGGTGCCTGCATTACTACGTGTTTCCCATCGATGGCACCAAGTGCATGTGGAAAGTTCCATTTACTCTCAAATTCTCTAGCAATTTTCTTCCATTGTTCTTTAGTTTTTGGTGCACTTAAGTAGCCGTTTTCGATCAAAACATGCCAAAGAACTTGACACGTTTCACCAATAATCCTTCCTACGGTCGAAGGGCTTATGCGATAACTAGCTGCTATACTGGTTTGTTCATCTCCCGTGACTAGGTACCTCAAAGTAACTGCTAATCTTTCACTGGGTGAAATGGGCTCACGCATTTTTGTTGCTTTTTTCTGTATGTAAGGAGAAACCCAAGAAAGAAGTTTTTCAAAAGTTTCTGGTACCATTCTGAAACAACGAAAAAAGTACTCGTGGTCAAAAAGGACCATTTCTTTGATTAACAGGTGGAATTCTCCTTTTAAAATGCGTTCTTGATAAATCTTCCGCATCCAAAACCGCTTCTTGTATTTTTCATTTTGTCTTTCTAGTCGCCTACGAAGCACAACTAAAATTATTAATCTTTGCAGTTGTTTTTGTTTTACACTCGACATGTTGAATTTGAGATTTGATTTTCGCGCGTTTTATTAATTTTCCAACTTTTTCGCTCGCAGCGGATACTTGTGGAAATTGAAAAGCCTTTCCTCTCGAAACTTTTCGAGCGTAATTTTCCGCTCCGCGCGGAAAATTCCGCCTAGTGGAAAACAGCCTTAACGCCGACCGCGACACACTGGGGTGACATTAATTAATATTACCTATTTATATTACATAATTTATTTACATTTTATTATACAAACCACGACGAACGCATGCACACGCGCGGGGCAGGAATTAGGCAAGACAAGACAGGGTAGAATTGTGTCATCGAAATCTGATCATTTGAATCCGATACCCATTATCTGGCGGGAAACGTTATTCCAGAAGAAGAACTTTGACACTTTGTGTATTACGAATTTCACCACTTTTCCATGATATTGTGGCTATCGGTAAGTATATAGAAGATTTGTCCATTTTCTAGAAATATATAAGTATCTCACACAAATGCAGGTTGGCATTCTTTTATTACTCTGCTGTTTACATGTGTTTGGAAATAAAAGAAAGATTTAGTCATTTAGAGCAAGTCTATAAGTAATTAAGTTAACATGTGCATTTAGCTGTTGGTCGCACTTGATATAATCATAAACATGTTTAAGATCCCACCCGTATTATGACTACAAGTATTATGCATTATACCTGTTGTTCTTGCAATCAAGTAATCAAATATAACTTATCTGACGATCTTATTTATTACTCATTGGTCGTTTCATGCAGTAAAACGAATCACATGCAAATAAAAGCCGTCGCTAGACACGTAGTCCATTACATGTTTATATATATTCGCCTTGCCCTTGAACGTTTTTTGAAAGCGATTGTTTTGTATAAACATGTATAATGTGAATATGCCCGCTTTAATTAGGCGTCTATATTTAGCGACTGTCGAGCAATATCTGTAAGATTATAATATAATGAGATTAATTTCCTGTCCCAAACGCATTGAATCGTTTGTAAACCCATTGAACCGTTAGTAAAGTCATTTCATGCATAATCTCTGTTAATAACAACATATAAATCAATCTGCTGGGTAGTTTACATGCATAAAGGCATAAATCTAGTCATGCACTAGCGTAGCCAGCCTGCCGATTTGTCCCGCTATGCTAATATTTTGGTGTTCATTAACTTTGAAAACGATAAATTTCTAAAGAAATGAATTATTA